CCTCCCCAGTGCTGGGATTACAGGTGTGTGCCATCACGCCTAGCTTTTCTCTCTGTAACAGTCCTGGCTGTCCTGAAACTCACTTTGTAGAGCAGACTGGCTTGGAACTCACAGAGATCTGCCTGCCTCTGCGGTCCCCCACCTCCACCCCACCCCCACTTCCCACACCCCCATACACACCCGGTGCTGGGATAAAAGGCGGGAGCCACCACCCAGCCTAGCTTTTCCTTTCTTAAAGTAGTCTCTACTTCATAAGCCTTCTCAGGTTTACCAGTAGTACCAGCAGAGAGGGAAAAAGAATGAAAAAAACTAAAAGTAAATTGCCAGGCATGGTGGTACCCACCCTTTAAAATAAAATTTTAAAACATTTGCTTTGTTCTATAATTCTAACTAGTATATACACCTGTATCTCTTAGTATTTCCTGACTTTTTAAACTTGAATGTTATTAAGTGTTATAAGTGCATGACTGTCATGATTCTGAGTGTAGCTGTCAGAAGACCACTTTTAGGAGTAGGTCCCAAAGAACAAACTCAGGTCGTTAGGCTTTCCAGCTTGTGTTTCATGCATGCTGACATCTCCCTGCCCTCTTACTAACTTTACAGAAGAGCTGACATGACACACACCTTCTATTTTTTGTCTCACTACTGTTTTTTTTTTTTTTTTTTTTCCCTCTGTGTAGCCATGGCTGTCCTAGAACTCACTCTGGAGACCAGGCTGGCCTCGAACTCAGAGATCCACCTGACTCTACCTCCTGAGTGCTGGGATTAAAGGTGTGGGCCACCACTGTCCAGCTCATAATTTTTTTAAAATTTTGTTTTGTTTTGTTTGTTTGTTTCAAGACAGGGTTTCTCTGTGGCTTTGGAGCCTATCCTGGCACTCGCTCTTATAGACCAGGCTGCCCTCGAACTCACAGAGATCGGAATGCCTCTGCCTCCCGAGTGCCGGGATTATAATAGCTGTGGTTGGAGTCTGCAGTGAGTTGAGTACCTGAAGCTCCAGGCTCTCAGCATGTGGCTTCCTGATGAGAAATGAGGCACTCTCCTCCCAGATGGGGGCTGACGTTTGGGAAACAGTCTGTTGGAGAAGAGGGGTTATGGTCAGTGGTGATCACTCATTCTTAGCAGTGAAGGATCCCGTTACAAAGCATCTGCGCCTACCTTGGTTTTATGGGAAGTCTCTCCTACGCTGAGAGTAGCATATGGGCTGGGGGGCTTGGTGCCTTTCCGGAGCTGGAGGGACAGCATGGGTCACAGATTTACAAATTAAAGGCATAACCACATCTCCATTTGCACTTCATAGCCCCCACCCCCAAGGCTCACTCAAACCCAAGGGAGCCTGAAGAGGGGCTATGAAGCCAAAGCAAAGGAATGGGGAACTGCTCTTGGGAGGCATGGGGAGCTGCTCTTACTGGCAGATCTTCTGCCCGTTCCAAGTAGACAGACAGCAGGGCTGCCGCCAGCTCTGAGCTCTTCTGGGTCTGGATCAGGCTGTTGACCTGCAGCACCTGAGACACAGAGTGGGCCGTGGGTGGGAGCTGGCAGGGGGCTCAGCCCACTCCATCCTGTCCCCACGTGTCCTCACCTCTTCCAACTCAGCAGCAGTAGGTCTAGGGGTCAGACGCTCCAGGCGTAAGTGCAGGCGGCCAGATGGAACATCCTCCAGGGTCAGCCACTGTGGAGACAGGCAGGGAAAAGTCTTGAGGATGAGACCAGGTGCGTGAGGAGGAGGAGGCAGCATGGGTCTCACCTCATGCTCACCTCATCAAGGAAGCCACTGTTGAGGACTGTGGTGAGACTCACTTTATACCTGTGGAGAATGGAGACAAGGGGCTGGTGGGTGATACAGGCCAGCGTTTCCTGTCCCCCTGAACTCTTGACTCTTACCTGCCCAGAAAGTCATCCTTGTCCAAGTCCTTATCAAAGACCTCAATCTCAAGCTCTTGGCCTGGAATCGATGTGACAATCACCTAATGGGAGGAGACAGTGCAGATGAAAGGGACTTCTTTTCCTCTCCATATGTCATGTCTGCCCACCCCCTACCACCTGACTAGGGAGGATTGGCAGCCCCTGTGGGGCAGACAGGAGTCCAGTTACTCGGTTCTGACCTCAAAAACCTCATTCCAGCGGGGATTGAGGTCCTCCCGAACAACATGGCTCCGGAAACTCCGTCCTGCCACCTTCAGTTTGACGTAGGGGTCTGATTTGCCCTTCACCAACCCCCCCAGGAAACGGTCTTTGGCAATCAGGTCCTGAGCCTCTAGTACATGGATCCGAAGAACACTCTGCAGGAAGGACAGATGGACAAGAGCTCAGAACCAGCCCTAGAGCAGGCTTGGCACAGTGTGGGCAAACAGGGCCTTATTGTTTCCAGGTACCAACTTACCTCCGTCCCAAAGTGGTTGTTAGGAGTTGTGTGACAGGGCCGAGGTGGGGCATCCACACTGCTGCCTGTCTGGGGGCCGTCACCGTCCAGGTCTTGGGCACCGGGTACAGTGGGGAAGCAGATTTCAGATGAATCTAAGTATAAGATCTGCAAAAAACAGTGTGATGGCCGATAAATCACCGTGCAGGCTGCCTTGCCTCCACTGGGCTCCTCTCATTCCTTCCTCAGGTCAGATCAACAAACATTTTTTAATGTGCCTCAGACACATCCACAGAGGCTAGATCCTTTGATCTGAATATGCTTCCCCTCCCATGCTCTGAATACCAAGGGACCCACAGGCCTCTCCTCCCTCCCATGCCCCCAGCACCTGCCCCCCCCCCCCCAATCCCCGTCCATGTAGAGCCTGGAGTTTGGGCCCGAGCTGCTGAGCTGGAACCACTGATCCAGGGTGAGTTCAGAGGCAGTCAACAGGCGAGCCAGCGGGAGAGTCAGTGCCCCTAATGTCAGGGCCCTGGAATCATCCTTCACCTACCGGTACAGAAGGAGTGAGGCGAAGCCAGATTGAGGAAGCTATAGTGTGACTCCAGCTGTCCTCCTACACCCCACTCACCCGAGGTACAAACCTTTCATTCCACGCAGAGCTATCATTTTTCAGCACCACCATCCCTTCTACCTTTGCTCATTCTGTCCCCCTGAGGGAGTTTTCATTCTCTCCCTCCTGCCTATTTCAACCCTATTTATCCATCCTTTAGGTTTAGTTGAAATCTTTGTTCCTTCACAAACTCTATAAATGTTTGAAAAAACAATACAACACTGTTCACTGGGTGTGAGTGCATGACTTACATGGAGGGGATGTGTCCCGTGCACATGTGTGCAGGTCAGAGGACAATTTTGTGAGAGTTGGCTCCCTCTTCACCTCTATGTATATTCTAGGGGTTGAACTGCAGTCACCAGGCTGTATATCTTTACCCACTGAGCCAGTGCTTCGCTAGCCCCCAGTCTCCAAATCCTACTTGCTCCACCCCCACGTCTTCTCTGGGCATCTTCAAGGGTGGTACAATCGGCACGTACGTGTTTCCTCTATGAAACTGACCAGTGAGCAAGGAAGCTATGATACTGGGTTTCAGGATTTTTCCTATGACCTTTAAAATGTTAGTTTTATTGGGGCACAATCTACATACCATAAAAGTTACTCATCTCAAGTACAGAGTTACCAATTATAAAAATGAATTCTAGGCCTGGTGTGGTAGCATATACCTTTAAGCACTAAGGCAGAGAGGCAGGTAAATGCCAAAAAAACAAAACTGGGGGGCTGGAAAGATGGCTCAGAGGTTAAAAGCACTGAGTTCAATTCCCAGCAACCACATGGTGGCTCACAACCATCTTTAATGAGATCTAGTGCTCTCTTCTGGCCTGCAGGCAGACATGGAGGCAGAATGTTGTATTCATAATAAATGAATCTTTAAAAAAAAAAAAAAACTGAATGTGGCTGCTCATGCCTTTAATCCCAACACTTGAGAGGAAGAGGCAAGAAGATCTCTGTAACAAGCAGGATATATCAAGAGACCCTGTCTCCAAATAAAACAGAAAACCCTAACCTAATGCCTAGAGCAGATGAGGCCCTGAATTAATCCCCAGCATCACACTCGAGCACATGCACACGTGAACACACACACACACACACACACACACACACACACACACACACACACACACACAAATACAAAGGAAAGTAAAGTAAAACATTGAGGGAACAAGCCATACCAGTAAACATGGAGGTGACAGGATAAGGCGGCTCTCACCTGCACATCAAGCTCCTGGCTGCGAGGGTCTTGCAGGAAAAACCGGAAGGCTTCTTCCCACACTGGGCAGTTGGTGCTGTAGGTAGCCTGAGAAGTGATGATGGCATAGGACATGTACCCAGCACCATTCTCCTTTGGGCTGGTACTTACAATTGCAAGCATCCTGAAGAAGAGCCCGTGCTGTTCTTACCTTGCTCTCCCGTGTCACATCCTGAACTGACAGTTGCACCATGGGGTTGGGTTCCTTGTTTCCCTTCTTCAGCTGTATTGGGGGACAGAATGTAGAGATTATCCTTTGCATGCTGCACGTCTGGGGCTTGATGAAGGAATGTAGGCCCAGCACACTCTTCCTCCTTAGAACCTTTGCGTTACTCCTTTGCAGGCAGGGGCACCCTCATGCTCAGCCAGGAAGGAGTGGCCATCCTTTCCCCAAGGCTCTGTTCACCACTCCACAAGCCAAACTCACAGGAAGATCCTGGGCCCGATCCAAGTACACAACCAGGATGGCAGCTGATGGTGGCTCCGGTCGTGAACTGATGCCCCGATTCCACTGTAGGACCTGGGAGGAGGGAACAGTGGTCAGACCTCATCATCCTGACCCCCAAATGTCACCTCCCTGCCTGCCTCCTGTTTCCTAAGCAGCTTACCTGATCCAATTTTTCTGCATCTGGCAAAAGCGATAGCCATTCTAGCCTCAAATGAACTTGGCCTTGCCCACCTTGCAGAGGGTACCACTGAAGGAAGTAGAAGAAAGTGAATAGGGATCAGACACCCACCCAACCACTCTTCACCAAGGCAGCAGCTATCAGTCGCCCACAGGGTGAGGTGCCTCCCACATCCCTCTCTCCCAACTTACATCATCCAGGACTCCAGCCTGTAATACCTTCCCCACATCCAGCTTCATTCTGGAAAGTGGGGAGGGGGTGGGGGAGAAAAGAGAGGGCAGGGGAGAGAAAAGGGGAGTGATAATTAATAGCAAGCCAGTAGCCCTCCAGAAATAACCAGAGAACCCTTTTTATTTATTTGTAAAACTTCAGTGTGTGGTCTGTGTGAAGGTGTCTAGGGAAGCCAGAGGACTTGGGGCTGGAGTTATAGGAGGTTGTAACCTCCCATGGGTGCTAGCAATTAAACTCGAGTCCTCTGCAAGAGGACTCATGCTTAAGTACATATGCTTAACCGCTGAGCTATCTCTCTAGCCTCATGAGGATCTTACACTAAGGTTGGGAGGAGGGGAGACGTGTGTGTGTGTGTGTGTGTGTGTGTGTGTGTGTGTGTGTGTGTGTGCACATGCTCTACTACCTCCAGACTCTGGGGCGTACTGGGACTTTAGAATCTAAAATGTGCAGTCTTACCTTCCCAGAAAATCATCTTTATCTGGATCTTTGTCAAATACCTCTACCTCGATCTCCTGTCCCGGGACCTCGTGCACTATCACCTGGAGAGCACAGTGGACTACAGGTCTCATGGGCTGCAGCTGTCAGGGCCGTCCAATCAGCAGCTTCTCCCGCCACCCGCCACCCCTGCTCCTCAGCTTCCTACCTCATAAGTCTCTCCCCAGTGAGGGTTGAGCTCCTCGTCGATGACACGACTGCAGAATGTCTGGGTGCCCACACGGACAAGCGCATAGGGGTCTGATTTGCCCTCAATCAGGCCTTTAACGTACTTGTCTTTGGAACTCAGCCCTCGGGCTGCCAGAAGGTGAATCCGAATAATGCCCTGGAGTTAGTAACCAGCTGGTGAGAAACTAAGAACCCAGCACAGGAGTCTTGAGAGAGATCAGTCTACTCAGATATCATACCCTGGGCAGTGGGGAGCGCAACTGGGCCACATCTTGAAGGTCAGGTACGAGGGGCACCAGCAGTCGGTTGGGCAACACGAGGAAGGCAGCGATAGAATCCATGATCATGGTGTCAGAGAGAGAGCTGAAAGGGAGCAGGGAAGAAAAAGGGCTCAAGTTCTAGCTGCCCCCCACTGTGTTTCTTAAGGCAGAGAGAGATTTCAACCTTTTAAATCCCACTGCATATCCCTGGCTGGGTTAGGATCTGTTATATAGCCCATGCTGGCACTGAACTCTGCCTGCCGCCAACTCCCAGCTGCTGGGATTACAGGTGTGTGCCACCACACCTAGTTTAGGAAGCAGTCTTTCTCTTTCTCCTAGTCACACTTGTTTCCTATGTCAGACGACAGCCAAGCAGTACCCATCAGACTCGGCGTCGAATGCCTTTGCCCACTGAGCTATCTCACCAGAGTGGAAGACTCTGAGAGTCCTCTTTGGACGCTAACCCCCCCTTGCCATTCCCAACCTTTCTCGCTGTGTCTCCACCCCCACCCCCGGCTTGAGGAATCTCTAATTCCCTACCAAAGTATACACATCCCTCCACGGGAGACAAAAAAATCCCATTCTGAAACTTTCTTGGAGTTTATGTCTGATCTCCACAACTGCAGTGAGGTCTTGAGGGCACAGGCTTGGGTTTCACTTCTTTGCATCTCTGAACCCTCGGCCCCCAACTGGGATATTTGGGAAGGATACTCAAAGGTCCTCAATACCTAAGTCCTGGGATATCCAGCAGATTGGTCATCCCTGTCCAGTTGATGTCAAGTGTCTGGAAGAACAGGGCAGACGAGTCAGGATGGATCCCAGAGAGTGAGGTTGCACTCAGCCGACTGATGCGCCCATGCGTGGTATGCATGCATGGCGCCCCTTAGTCATTTTGGCTTTTTATCAGTCTTCTCAATCCCTGTAGCTACCTTCTGCGCCGCCTTTCTTCTTCACACCCCTCCCCCCCGCAGCCTGTTTCTCATCTCCCACCGATGGTCTCTCTTACCGGGCGTTTGATGAAGAACATCGACACAGCCCCCACGATAGGAAGGTCCCCCATGAGTGGCTCAAGAATCACCCGCAGAACGCCATGGAGCTAGAGCAAGAAGAGCAAGGAGACAAAAGTCTTCCCCAGAAGAGACCCCATGACCTCCCGTACTTCCCAACCTTGACTGTTCTTCCCACAGCCCACGAAACTTCGGGTGGACCCGGTAAGGAGGCCCCTGACATCCGCCCACCTGCATGCCCTTGACGCCTGCTTTGCAGAAATATTTCTTCACTTCCACATCAATCTGCACGTCGCCTACATAGCTGGGAGGCAGTGAGGGAAAGAATAACGGTTAGGTTAGTGCGAGGCTTATCGGAGAGGAGGGGGAACAAAGCAGCCATGGGTGACCAGGACCCACCCACCCAGGCGGGTGGTGAGCTACCTGACATTCAAGTCCAATAGAATCTGGTCTTTCCTCTGACTAGGGTGAACCTTGACTCCGATGATGCGTGCTGGCTAAAGAGAGAGGCAATCTCAGAAAGAGGCAGGAGGAAAGGGGAACATCCCAGCCCTTGGGGCGCCTCCCCAAACCCTTATCTATATCCTCCCGCCCCCTACACACCTTTTCACCTAGCTCCACTCTCGTAAATGTGAATGTTTGCAGATGGGGGTTAGCACCCCGGACAGCTGGCGCCACCGTTTCAGCCAGCAGCTTCTCCATATATTGTCCAAGGAAGGGCCATACCTGGGCCAGAATCTGGGAGGAAAAGAAAAATCAGAAGAGTCTGCTTTCCCATTAAAGCAGTGGTTCTCAACCCCTAAGACCATCAGAAAACAAAGATATTTACATTATGATTCATAGCTAACAAAATCACAGTTATGAAGTAGCAACAAAAATGATCTTATGGGGGGCTGGAGAGATGGCTCAGAGGTTAAGAGCACCGACTGCTCTTCCAGAGGTCCTGAGTTCAATTCCCAGCAACCACATGGTGGCTCTCAACCATCCTTTATGAGATCTGGTGCGCAGATATACATGGAAGCAGAATGTTGTATACATAATAAATAAATAAATCTTTAAAGAAAATGATCTTATGGTTGTGGGGGTCATCACAGCATGAGGAAGGTTGAGAAGCACTGGTCTAAAGGCAAGTTCTGGACATGATAGCACATAGCCGTTTTCTGGGCAGTGATGCTGAGCTGGGATGACCAAAAGAGTCTGGGGCCCCCTTTGGGGCAGGAAGATAGAGTCATCCCCACGGGCAGCTTTTGGGACTAGGCTCAAGCTGGAACCGAGGTGTGGAAAGAGTAATAAACCCCACTCAGTGAAAATCAAAAACAAAACAGTCCTCACCTTGTTTAGCCATTCAGCCTTTTCCACATCCGGGAAGCTGACCTGGAAGTGGGGATGGCAAAATCAGGGACAAACATACATACATACATACATACGTCTGTGCTTCCTATGAGGCCAGTGGGGGGGGGGGCGCACCAGAGATGGGCCATGTCCCTCTGGCTGGGTGTGCTGGGGTTTCTTCCCTTCCTCTCTTTTCCTCTCCCTTTTAAAGCAAAACCTGAGTTTGTTAAGAAAATGTTTTGGCTGGGCACAGGGACACAAACCTATATTCCCAACACTTGGAAGGTAGAGGCAAGAGGGTCCTAGTTCAAACCTAGCCTGGGCTATATTTTTTTTAACTTCTTTATTTTGTGTCCATTGATGCAATGGACATATATATATATGAATGAAAGTGCAAAGTTGTTTCCTTTTGTTTGTAGACAGGGTCTCATTATGTAGCCCTGGCTTTCCTGGAATTTGCTGTATAGAGCAGGCTGGCCTCGAACTCACAGAGATCCACCTGCTTTTGCCTCCCGGGTGCTGGGATTAAAGATTTATGCTACCATACCCAGTAAGAAAAAGGTTTTAATGCATATTTAAACATACAATCCTGGGGGCAGGAGACGTCTGTCCTTAGAATTTGGTCACACGGGCTCCTTTAGTAAGGGCTGGTGGGATGTAGGCTACATACAGATGCTTCAGACAGCTCAGAGATATGAAATGGCAGCTTCTGGGGCAAAGGAGGGGGAGGGGGAGGAGTCTGAAAGAGAAGGGCACATTCTTTCAGGAGGAGATCCTGTCAAATCAGAGCTCTAAGGAATCCTGGGATGAAGAAGTCCTGGTTCCTTTGTCCAGCCTTCTTTGCTCCCCTGGGACTGGGTGTAGGCTTCTGTCTAAGAAGGTGAAGAAGAAACCAACCCTTTGATAACCTTAGGGAGGGGCTGAAAGAGCTACTTAGGCCTGGTGCGCTGGTGCGCTAGTGCCTGCGCAAGCCTCCGCAGAGGTCTCTCTCTCTTTCCCTTCCTACCTACTCTCTCTCTCTCTCTCTCTCTCTCTCTCTCTCTCTCTCTCTCTCTCTCTCTCTCTCTCCCCTCCCCTGGGTGACTCCTTTTAAGGGAAAGAACACCTGTGCTCTGCAAGGAGTGGGGAGAGAGAGGATTAATTGGATTAATTCCTATGATAAGGGGTAGGAGTAACAGTTGCTGCTTGGGGTAGATAGAACCATTCCTTCCTTTTTCTCTCCAGGGCATGGTGAGCGTGACTGTGTCTGCCACTCTCTACCTAACTAGCAGGGTACCAGGGAGGGGCTGGTAGCCCGCTCAGCTTTAGCAAGGCCAGGGAGAGGCATCTGTTTCAGCCCAGGAGACAGGGTACAGTAATAGGGCCTGGGTCAGTTGAGCAAGCAAGCGAAGGATGCCCACAGTCCGGAAAAGGGTGGGGCCGCCCAGGGTGCGAATAGAGAGCGCAGCGGGACCTACAGCAGAAACCAAAAGGCGGCCAGCCGCAATACCCTCTCTCTTCCCAGCAACACCCTCCCTCCCCTTGGCCGCCCCGTAGCCCGGCTGGCTTGAGGCTGGAAGGCGACTGCGGCGGGTCATTTCCAGGTGCTGGACAATGCTCGCAGGGTTGGGTCTCAGCGGGTACCTAGGAGCAAGGCAGGAAACGGGACACCCTTATGTCCTTAAGTGGATAAAAAGCCAGGAAAGAGCTAGCCGAGGCGAGGGAACCTCTGAGCGATCACGGGGATGGGGTGGGATGGGGTGGGGTGGGGAGGGATCCCCAGAGGCAGCGTGGCGAAGGCGCGAGTAACACAGTCAGGAGGCGCGAGCGCTCCACGCTTGCTTGGCTGGGAGCGGCCGCTCAGATGCACTGCCGTAGTCGGAGCAGACCGAGGAAGAAGTAAGTCCCGATTCTGTGGAAGCATCCGCTCTGCGGCAAGGGTTGGCGGAGAGAGCGAGTGAAGTCCGGTCCAAGAGCTGGGCGTCCCAGCAAGCAAGCGCTAACGGGACGGGACGGACGAGGTGAAGACTGGGGGTCCCGTCCCCCCCGCTGTCCCGAGC